GATGGGAATGGACTGGGGAAGGCCACATGGTTGGAGCATCTGGAATGTGGGACATCAGGATGGCAGGGGGTGCTGAAACTGGTTTGTGAATGATCCCATATGTCTGGCAGAGAGTAAGGAGTTCTGAGGATTTATTTTCACTTTTATTCTTTTAGAGAGGGAGAGAGAGAAAGTGCAGGTGCACGTAAGCTGGGCTGGAGATGCAGAGGGAAAGGGAGAATCTTAAGCAAGCTTAAGATTCCATCCAGTGTGGAGCTTGATGTGGGGCTCCATCTCACAACACTGAGATCATGACCTGAGCCAAAATCAAGAGTCTGATCGTTAACCAACTGAACCACCCAGGCGCCCCCAAGGAGCTCTGAGGTTCAGCTGGCCAAGGAAAAACTGTAGGAGAAGGGAAGGAAGGTGAGGATTGTCTCACACTGAGTTTCTGCTCTGGAAGTTAGATGTGAAGTCTAGGCAAGGCTGGGTGAGTTGTAGCAGGAGAGTCTGGCTGATGTCTCCAGGACACCCCATGATGGTTTCTTGGTGAATTCACCACAGTCCAAGGGAGGGACCTAAGTCAGAAATCAGATTCATCAGATCACCCAGGGGTGATCTAATTAAGATCTAAATTTATCAAAAGAACACCTGCAGGTGAATCTTCATTTATGGTAACTGTCAAAGCAAAAGCAATTTTTAACAGAATTTTAAAACAGAATATCAATTAGTTCATGTATACAAGAGATATAATTGACTTGCCCATTTTCCTTCCATGACCAAGGTGTGGTGGGAAGCTTGCTCAAGGAGCTGGGAATCAGAATCAGAAGTTGATCATGGGCTACGCTTGACAGTGTCTCATGCCTCCAACCAAGTGGCTAATGTGCCTCCAGGGCTGGACATGCCCGGGCTTGGGCTGGCTCCTCTGCTCTAGACGTGATCAGATTGTCCCACTGGGTTGGATTCACTAATGCTCCTTTCCTGCACCTTTAAAAAAAAAAAGATTTTATTTATTTATTTGACAGACAGAGATCAGAAGTAGGCAGAGAGGCAGGCAGAGAGAGGAGGAAGCAGGCTCCCTGCTGAGCAGAGAGCCCAATGCGGGGCTCGATCCCAGGACCTTAGGATTATGACCTGAGCCGAAGGCAGAGGCTTTAACCCACTGAGCCACCCAGGCGCCCCTACTGCACCTTCTGATGAACGTATTATTTATATATTTTAGACACATTCTTTGTAGATCTTTATGTATCAATATTCCTCCGGTAAGCTTAGAACTGAACTGCTGTCCCAGAGTCTTCTGAACCTTGGATACATGTTAAAATCACCATGGGGAAATTTAAGAGCTGCTAATATCTGAGCCTCACCCCCAGGGACTCTGATGTGATTGGTCTGAGGTACAGCCTGGTATGCAGAGTTTTACAAGTTCCACCAATGATTTAATACACAGTCAAGGTCAAGAGCCTTTGCTTTAAGGCGACTGTGCATATATCTGTTCTGGTCCATTGCATGTTGATTTTGCTCTTAGAGGGTCACTTACCATGGATCAGGTACCAAGTTCAACAATACTTCTCAAACATCACTTTGTTGAATTCTTTAACCAGGCCTGCCAGGCAGTGAGGCAGTGCAGTGGGATAGGAGAAAGCTGTCAGCTACAATTCCACAAAGGCTTGGGTTCAAGCCCAGCTGCCTGTTTACTAGCCAGATGACTTGGGCAAGTTACTTAATCCCTCGGAATCTTAGTGTTCTCATCTGTAAAATGGGAGTGATAATAATATCTGCTTCTCAAGGTTGTTGTGAGGCAACAGATGGAAATTACCTCACCCGGGTTGGTCTTCATCATACTGGCTCCATTTCAATGAGAGAAGCAGGAAAGACTGAGACTTCACTTTTCTTGAGGGTGTTTAAGAAAGGGGGAGTCCCCCCATCATATTCTGGCCCACAGACATAAGGTCAAGGAGTATAAGGAACATGCCATGGGCAGATGTCTGGGATAAAAGCCTTAAAATTGATTTCCAGTCACAGAGTCCAGATGTGGGGAGGAAGAGGAAGAATTATATAGAACCTGCGTATACCTGCCTACAGAGCCTGAGTGGACCAAACATGGCCAACCATCAGCCATGGGCCAAGTATTGGAGGGGGAACCTGAAGCAGGTGCCGCTAAAAGACCAGCTCGCATGGATAGTGTGTGTGCGTGTGGTGGTTGAGGTCCTTTCAGTGGGGTCTGTAGGTCCAACAGTCCCTGGAGACCCACATTCCCAGAGTTCTTTCCCACTCACCAGGTTCCCCCTACAACTCTGACCCTTTGGATCTCTCTGGGCTATTCCTCAGGGTCCGGTTGCTCTTTTTCTTGCAGCTGGAAGCGTGTGTTCCCAGGAAGGTCTTCCAACGAGGCTACCTCAGGGCTTTTCCTGAGTGCTCCCTGCGTACCCACTCCTTCGGAGTGGCTCAGATTATCTCCTCTGATCCCAGTGGGGAGCCTATTGGTTAGCAGGTGAGCCACAGTAGCAGAGCCCCTCACACAGACCTCAGCCTGGGGGCATGTGTCCCCTCTCCCCATTCTTGCAAGAGGAGAAGCAGAGCTGGAACAGCCAAGAAAAGCATTCTTGGCTCCTCCCCGCATTTCCTTGGTGCGGGCTAGGGGGAGCCAAGAGGAGAGCATCTATACCCAACATGGTTTAAATTTTTTCACACAAGGAAACACAAGGAAGTCCAAACAGGGTATTTATCCGGGCTGAGAGGATTAAGAGACACTAAATTGCTGAACTTAGAAACAAAATGGAAAGAAGCATCAGTTTAACTGTCTTAACCAGCTCTGCCTTCACGCCTTCTCCATCTGAGAGATTTCACCATATCCTGCTGCTATTCTTGAATCGAGTGTGGCTCCCATGGCTTTTAGTCTTTGTTTGAAGGTCCCTTTGCCAGAACTTAGTTCCTTTCCAGATCACCTGGTTAAGCCTGGGGGTGTAGGCCATTCTCGAGGGAAGCACAGGATTTCCATGGTGTCTTGGCATTTCTCTCTGCTCTCAAGTTGAGCTGGACCCAAATCTCTGTGCCCTCAATTACCCTCTTGCCACGGCTTGCCCTCCCCTAGGGCTGGGTCAGTGGCCTGGTCTTCCTCCTGGGAAAGGAAGCCCCTCTCTTCCTGACCCCACAACCCTGTTTTCTAGAAAAGAGACTGACACAAGTAGGCAAGCTATCCAAGCAGAGGTGTGGACACCACTTTCCCCATGGGTTTCTTTAGCTGGAGTCATCTCCCAATCTTACTCTTGCCCCCACACTCTTTTCTGGAAACTCTTCTAGTTCTTATTTATGCTCATCCACATTATATACCCCAGGAAGGCCAATGGGGATGGGAGGCCCTGGAGGCTGTTGCCTGACCAGGCCAGGCTGGTTCCCACTGGGACACCCCTGGCTCGTTGGCATGCCTGCCCCTGATCAGACAGCACCAGGCCTTAGGGCCAGGCTCTGGATGCTTTCTGGTTCCTATCTTCAGTGACGTTCTGGTCATGGGGGCTGGCTGATGGAACGGAGGCCACTGTCACTCATAGCCCTTAGAACATTCCACCCACAAAACCCCCTGAATTGCTTCTGTCACTTGACCATCCTATCTCAAAAGCATTTTCCCTATGGTCTCCATCCATGTCAGAAACTCAGAAGACTATTTGGCAGAGGAGACAGATGACAAGATGACAGGAGGAACATTTTTATTCAGGTACCGAGAGGAGGGAAACGCCAGGGAGCAGAAGCTGAAGTAGGAAGAGGAGGAGGAAGAGGAACTCAGCGGGGAGAAGGAATGTGCTGGAATAAGAAGGCCACAGGCCTGGTGGGGACGCTGCCCTGGTATTCGAGAGAACAGCTGGTCTCTGGAGGCCTCGTCTTCATTCCAGACTCAAGGACAGAGGAGGAGCTGGGAAGGCCCCAGAAGGCTTCTGAATGTTAATGACACTCAACTGTACATCTAAAAATGATCAGTTTTTATAATTTTGTATAAATTTTGTGTAAATTTTGTGTAATGTATGTTTTAGCTCAATAAAAAAAAGAAGAAGGGATAAGTAATGGTGCAGTTGTGTTGGACAATGGTCTGTGATTCCTCAAAAGGTTAAGCCTCAGGCGACTGTACGCCCCAGCAGTTCCACGCCCGGGTGTGCTGAAGAGAAATGAAAATGTCTGTCCACGCAAGAGCTTGTCCACGAAGGTTCACTGAGGCATAGTCCACAAAGTGGAAACAAGCCATATGGCCATCAAGGAAAGAACGGATGAACAAAGTGTGGTCTATCCCTGGGTTGGAACGGGACTCAGCCATTAGGGAATGAAAGACAGACACCTGCTCCAACACGTCCGCACCTCAGACACGTGATGCTGATGGAAAGAAGCCAATCACAGAAGGCTACGTACTGTACAAATCTCTTTATACGAGATGTCCAGAATATCAGCAAATCGACAATGACAGAAAGCTGAGTGGTTGCCTAGAGCCGGGAAGGGGTTGGAGGGAAAAGAGGGTGCTAACAGGTCCGAGGTTTCTTTTCTTTCTTTCTTTTTTTTTTTCTTTTTTTTAAGATTTTTATTTATTTGTTTGACAGAGAGAGATTACAAGTAGGCAGAGAGAGAGAGAGGAGGAGGAAGCAGGCTCCCTGCCAAGCAGAGAGCCCAATGCGGGACTTGATCCCAGGACCCTGAGATCATGACCTGGGCCGGAGGCAGAAGCTTAACCCATTGAGCCACCCAGGCACCCAGGTCTGGGGTTTCTTTCTCAGGTGTTGAGAATGCTCTGGAAGTGGATAGGGTGACAGTTGCACAACTTTGTAAATATACTAAAAACCCCTAACTTGTACATGTTTAATGTATATGCGATTTAATGGCATGCAGAGTCATATCTTGTTAAAAAAAAAAAGTAAGATTAAAAAACTGTTAGAAACAGGAGTCTTCTGGGAAAAGCTTGGCCATCAGTCCGGGCATCAGCTGGCCATTCTTCTCTCTGGGACAGGAACCCAGCAGGTCTGGGGTCTCTGCCCCTTCCCCAGTGCCAGGCATCACAGGCTCAGGATGCTCCCAGCAGGGAGGGGGTGTCAGGGAGGGCCATAGAGAGGGGGCCTGAGGGGAAGGGGAGGCGGGGAGCTTCCAGGTGGAAGGAAGGAAAAGAGGGCATCAGGCCCCCTGGCCCAGCACCCACTGCTCCTCTCCCCACAGCCTGGCCCTGGGGTCCCTGGCACATTCCCCATCCCGGGGACCCCTTAGTTGTGAGAGAAGCCCCCGTGGGAGAAGGCGGGGAGGTCTGGGGCACAGGCAGCAGCCTGGGGAAGGCAAGCCAGGGGGTTGACCTCGCAGGCCCCAGCATCCTGGTCCCCCTGGAAATAGACAGAATCCGCAGACTCGAAGGAGGGGTCCTGGTCAAAGAAGTTGTAGGGTCGGAGGAAGAAGCCCACACCGTTCCCCACAGTCACCGTGTTGGGAACGTCTTCCGCGTGTGGGATGTGCAGGAAACCAGCTGTCACCCAGGCCACCAGGTCCTGGCAGAGGAGAAGAAAGAGGATCCTGAGGCCTGGCTTCGTGAGGGACAGGCCTGCCTCCTACAGCAGCTGTGGATGTGAGGATATAGCTCACTAGCCCAGGAAAAAGGTGAAATCACAAAGCTTTCTTTCCCGGTAGGTTCTAAAGACCCCCAAGGAATCCGGCTTAGGAGTGAATGAGGCAGCTCATCCTTGCTCCCCTTCCCTCCCCCTCTTGCCTTCCCCTCCTCCCTCTCAGCTCACCTTCCCTGCGATGGTCTCGTTGTTGATGAAGTCAGCGAAGTCCACGGTGGGAGACCAAGGGTCGTTCAAATTGTAGATGCTGGTGCTGCCGCGCTCCTCTTCCTTCCGCTGGGTCACGGCCAGCTGGTACCTAGGGAGATTGGATTAGAGCATGAGGTGAGCAACCTGTCCTACTGCCCAAGGCCCCACCGAAGAGGGAACACAAAGCGGAAATGAGCACAACGGTCTCATGGTGTCGAGCCTCATTATCATTCTCTGTATACTTGTTCTCTTTCTGTCTCTCTGTCCCACAGAGTTCTGGAGTTTGTTCCGTATCCCATATCTCCGACATCCACGGGCGCACCGTTCAGACCTCAGGTGGGAATGGCATCCTCACGCGTCCATCCGGATCTAAGCCCGCACCCTGGATGCGTGCGTGCAGACGAAGCCTGATTCCCATCCTCAGTCCAGCCCAGGATGTCGACTGCCTGGGTGTTAGGACAGTATATTCCCTCCGATCCACGTTCCTCTCTTCCTCTTGGTGTTTTCCTCCGACTTTCATTGTGAACATTTTAAACATGCAGAAAAGTTGAAAGAATGGCACAGTGCAGCCCCGTGTGCCCGCAGCCTGGACTCCGCCTTCCACATCTCAGCATGTTTGACTCAGCACGGAGCTCTCCATCTCTCCCTCCGTGCAGAGGGCTGGCTTCATTTTGAGCGGCACTAAGATTGTGGCCACAGGAGCGTGTGTTTGTGCGCGTGCATTTGTGACTGTGTATGTGCACGCACACCTGCGGGAGGTTGGGACAATGTAGCTTCTCAGCCACATGAGTCTGTCTTACAGTCCACCTCCTCCAGCCGTGACACCCCACCACTCACCTCCCCCAGCTGAAGGCTCTCTCCAAGGAGCTGTTCTGGGGCAGCGGCTCCCCTGCAAAGCTGAGCACCTGGACACGGTAGCCCCGCGGGTGACCCCACTTGTTGCTGTGGTTGCTGGCCAGGTACATGTAGCGGGGCGGGACGCCTCCCAGGGGGAAGGAGGCCTGCTCCTCGGTCTCCAGCAGCTTCCGGGTCACCTGCAGCCTCTGCACCTGGTGCTCGGGGCTCCAGGGGACTGCCGTGGGGACATAGGTCATGTCCTCAGCCCAGACCCAGTTCTCCAGTCCTGCAGAGAGGGGTGGGGATGTAGGGGGAGAGGAGGGAGGGCCAGTCATGCAGCTGCCCTGTTCCCTCTAGACTCTGTCCCTTCCCTGCCACTCACCGCCTCAGAGTGGGGCCAAGGAGAAACCCAGGATGGAGTGTGTCCCTGCTTCCCTCCCTCTCCCCAAGATACCCCAATCCAGAGATCTGGTGATGGTGTTTCTGCCTGATGTCATTTCTGGGAATAATCCCGGACACCTTGTGACTGGGCCTCCACTGACCTCGTCCCTTTGAGGGCTGGCCAAGAGGATGGTTGCCCTGAGGTTGGAGCAGCCTAGCAGGCCATGTGCAGAGTCTGATTCCTTCTGACCCAAGGAAAGGGTCTGTGGCTAATGAATGAAACCCCATAGCATCACTGGAACTGCTTTATCATGATCATAATAACAGCGGTAGCTCACATTCATTACCCCTCAAGGAGCTCTGCACTGCAGAACATTGGTGCTTTACTCATACTGCAACCCTATGAAAGAGGAACTACCCTTGCGCCCATTGTAGAGATGGGAATGTAGGGAATTTAAGTAACATGCTCAGGCTTGTCACCAAGGGCAGGAGGTTAGCATTGTGGTGATGCTGGGGACCCCGGTCTCACTCTGGCTCTGCATTGCCCACACAGCAGCACACAGAGGAGAGCCACACAGAGTGGGCACACGACACGCAGACAGAAGACAGACAAGCCAGAGGGAAGGCAAATCAGAGCCGGGCCCAATGTTGCCGGAGCTTGACGGTGCTTCCTATCGTTTGGGGCTTGGCGAGGAATTAAGAGCAGGGCCAAAGGCAAAGTCTGTTCCTTGAGCTCCGGGAATTTTGAATGATTTTCATTAGAATCTAACTAGGACCCTTTTGGGAGTCAACTTTGCCCTGAGACCAAAGAGCAGTAAGGAACATAGGCCAAAGTAGAAGTAGACTCTCGCTTTCCTTTTGGGGATTCACTGCCCCCGGTCCACACCACAGGTGACAATGAAAGGTCAACAGTTTTTTCTGGAACATCCACACAATGGGCTCATGGGGACCATAATGACAGCAACAATGGTTAATACTTCTCACTACATGTCAGGCATAGTTCAAAGAGCTTGAAGAACCATCCTTGCTTAGGTGTGGAGATAGAGAGATGTGCATGTCAGGTAGAATACATAATGTAATTTTCTAGCTAAGTCCAAGGAGTGAGCCTAAAAGCAATGACGGCCCAGTGCTACTGAGCACCCTGGGTGCCTTGGGCTTGGTTTCTAAAGAGCATCCTCCAGTAAAAAGGAGCCAGAGCTCCTTGGAGAAGTGGTTGGATTCCAGGGCTGGAGCAGGGAAAATACAAGCTCAAACTGGAACATCTTGGGGGCACCTGGGTGTCTCTCTCTCTCAAATGAATTAAAAAAAAAAAAAAAAGGAACATCCCATGGTGCCAAAAAGAAAGAAGCACTCAAAAAAGGATGGCGGCATATCAAAAGGAACAAGAACCAACTGGAAGCATCTCCCAATGGCCAATACTGGGATAGTGCAAGGAACAGAATAAATGATACTGCTGGGTTGTAACCCTTAGAATAAAATAAATATCTATGAATCTGTGCAGTTATGAATAATTGCATATATAAATCAATGTCAATGGAGGATAATTTTTCCTTGTGGAGAATTCTAATTAATTAATTAATGTATAAAGAATACAGAAAAAAATTTGAAATGACCAGTAGGGAAATGTTGCAGTAATAATTCTTGCAAAAAAAAAAAAAAAGTCTACCAACAGAGGGTAAAAATTAGTAGGCAAGAATTTAAGAAGAAAAGAAATAGGATATTTGTATAGCATCAAAGTAATTGCCCCAGGATATTTATTTTTTTAAGGTTTTTATTTATTTACTTGACAAACAGATCACAGGCAAGCAGAGAGGCAGGCGGAGAGAGTGGGGGAAGCAGGCTTATTTCTGAGCAGAGAGCCCGATGCGGGGCTTGATCCCAGGACTTTGAGATCATGACCTCAGCTGAAGGCAGAGGTTTAACCCACTGAACCACCCAGGCACCCCGCCCCAAGATATTTATTAATTGCAAATGGAAAAATACTAACTTTTAAAAAAATAGTTTATTTATTGGGGCACCCCCAACACTCCCCTGTTTGTGTTCCTGCTCTCTCTGTCAAATAAATAAATAAATAAAAACTTATTTATTTGACAGAGAGAGAGCACAAGCAGGCAGAGTAATGGGCAGAAGGAGCGAGAGAAGCAGGCTCCCTGCCTTGCAGAGATCCCAACGTGGGGCTTGACCCCAGGACCCTAGGATCATGACCCGAGCTGAAGGCAGACACTGAACTGACTGAACCACCAGGTGCCTGGGAAAAGTACTAACTTGTAAAATGGAGAAAGTCAGAAAACGCCATCTTAACCAAGTGCTTGAGGTCAACATCACTGGTAATAAGACATATCAACCTCACATACCTCTTGATATGATGCACTGAGAAGGGCATAATGTTATCTCTCTGGTTTTCTTGTAAAAAAAAAAAGTACAATCTCAATCTTATCATGAGAAAATAACAGAGAAACCCAATTTAAGAGCCACCGTACTACATAATGACCAAAATCTTCCCTAATGTCAAGGTCATGGAAGACAAGAAAAGCCCAAGGAGCTGTCTTAGATTGGAGGAAACTAAGGAGAAAAGTCAAATAAAAGCAGTGTGGGATCCTGGATTAGATCCTGGAACAGAAAAAGAAAATTAATGGAAGAACTAATGAAACTCTAATAGGGTCTGTAATTTAGATAATAGTACTGTAATAATATTCATCTCCTGGTTTTGATCGCCATACTGCGATTGTATAAGATGTTAACATTAGGGGGAGCTGGGTGAAGGATATATGGGAACTGGACAATGTTTGCAACTTTTCTTCAGTCTAAAATTATTTCAAAAGAGAAATTGTTTTGGGGGCCCCTGGCTGGCTCAGTCAGAAAAGCATGAGGCTTTCAATCTGGGGCTGTGAGTTCGAGTCCCATGCTGGGTGTAGAGATTAGGGAAATAAATAAATAAATATTTTTAAGAGATGTTGTTTTAAGGTACTCATCATTAATCCTCTAGTAGTCTTACTAAGAATGCACTCTTACACCATTTTTACACTTGGGTAAACTGAGGCACAGAGTAGTTAAGCATAATAATGTTTCTATCATACACATTTTTTTTAAAGATCTTATTTATTTATTTTACAGAGAGAGATCACAAGCAGGCAGAGAGGCAGGCAGAGAGAGAGGAGGAAGCAGGCTCCCCGCTGAGCAGAGAGCCCGATGCGGGGCTCGATCCCAGGACCCTGAGATCATGACCTGAGCTGAAGGCAGCAGCTTAACCCACTGAGCCACCCAGGCGCCCCTATCATACACATTTTTAAAGGCACTCCACATGTTGCCCACTCCTCCATTAGAATGTAAGCCTCTTGAGAGCAGGGTTGTTGTTTCATTTGTTAAATTGCATTAGGGATGTGACTGGCACAAATACCCGTTCGTGGGATGCTGGAGTGACCAGTCGGTTAGGTGTCCGACTCTTGATTTCAGCTCAGGTCATGGTCTCAGGGTCGTGAGATGGAGCCCTGCTTTGGGGTCTGTGCCTGGTGTAGAACCTGCTGAAGATTCTCTCTCTTCCTCTGCCCCTCCCCCTGCTCCCTTTCTTAAAAAAAAAAAAAATGCACTCAGTAACTATTTGTTGCTTGCATGAATGATACATTGTTATGTGAAAAAAACAGAAGTGGCAAAATACAGATATGTTATGATCCAATTTTGATAATGAAAATTCAAAATATTTACATCAGTATATGATACTTACAGATAGTATACAATATAACAAATGTTATAATTTATTAAATATTGCAGATGCTATATTTAAAAATATGGAAGAATTTTTTTCTTAAGTATGGGAGAATAACTCATCTGCTAAGCGTGAAAATCTCTGAGGAACCTGACTTTCACTTGTAATCTTTTAATCTTTCAGTGACAATTCTTTTTTTTTTTTAAAGATTTTATTTATTTATGTGATATATATAGAGAGAGATCACAAGTAGGCAGGGAGTCAGGCAGAGAGAGAGACGGGAAGCAGCTCCCTGCTGAGCAGAGCGCCTGATGTGGGGCTTGATCCCAGGACCCCGAGATCATGACCTGAGCCGAAGGCAGAGGCTTAACCCACTGAGCTACCCAGGCGCCCCTCAGTGACAATTCTTAAAGCAAGACATGGAGACCTCAGTCCCCTCTGCTGGAATCCTTGCTTCCCCAGCGATGTCTTACCTCCTACATCCAGATCCACCTTGAAGTGGGCGCTGTGGGTGTGGACCGTGCCCAGCGTGTGCTCCCCAACCCGGTTCCCATACCTTTGGGCGGCACCAAAGAGGAAGGTTGAGCTGATGTAGCCGGTGGCGTGGAGTCGGACCTCTATGGCCCCGTTGGGGTGGAAGACCATATCCCACACGTAGTCATAGTTGAGCATGGTCGACACAGATCTGACCACCAGCACTGTCTCTGCAAGGCCCCCAAAATAGTGGGAGTGGATATCTGAGTGATGTCGCCTCAGAGGGAGGCCCTGGTTCTGTTCAAACACACAAATGGCATCGCGTATTGTCTTGGGGGTGTGTGATTCCAGAAGGAAGTGCCAGTCCACGTAGGTAGCCCCATAGGGGCAGTCCACCCCCCGGGTCAGGGTTGAAGAGAAGTGACCCAAGCCAAATCCACCATCTGTGTACCGGCTTCGCAGAGCAGAAGGAGAATTTCCACCATAGACAGCCAAGGCCTCCTGGAGGCTGATCTCATAAGCTAGTCGTTCTCCCCGGAAGCGAATGTCAAAGATCCTGGGGCCACTGAAAGCTCCAAGGCCAAAGGAGAAAGTCCACAATGAGGAGGTCACTCGACTCCCCTGGACACCGAAGCGGGGGCCCTGGGGATAGAACTGCAGAGGAGGCGGCGGGCCGGGGGGCCCCTGGGGCTTGAGGGACCAGGATCCACCTGTGCCATTGTCTGGGACCAGCACCACATTCACCAGGCCAGTCTCAAACTGGTCCTCCAGCTGGGCCAAACTCTCATAGTAGCGACCTTGAAAGAACACCTTCTGGATGGTCCAGCGGGCAGGGTCCAGAGCCTTGTGGTCTACCAGCAACTCCAACCCCACGGGGTGCAGGAAAAAGCCAGCCCCCGAGATGTTGTAGTAGAGACCAAACCAGGTGGCCCGGTCCCCTGACTGTAGACCTCGGGGAGCCGTGTTCATCGTCACAAGGTTCTGTCCTTGGCGTTGGTAGAAGCAGCAGTGGTGGAGGAGGCCGGCAGCCTGGGGCAGCTCTCTGTCGAAGATCAGCCGGTCTATGTCCAGGTACTCTCGGAGCAACACGGGGCGGCGGTGGTAGGGCAGGGGGCCCCCGTAACGCTCCACCGTCACATCCCGCAGGTAGGAGGGCCGTGGCAGCGGCCCCACCACCAGCTCACTCACGTTGGGCTGAGGCTGTCCACCGAAGAAGACGATGGCCAGTGCCTCCCGGGCAGGTGGGGGGCTCCCCCTGTCCAGGTGGGCCAGGGCGGCGGCCTTGGGGGGCAGGTGCAGCTCCACCGAGAAGATGCAGTTGTCCGAGGGGCGGGCCTGGGCTGCATCCACCAGGTCTGGCCCTAGCTGCTGGGTCAGGAAGCTCATCACAGCTGTCAGCTCGTCTCGGCTCAGGTCTGCAAACAGCTGGCTCTGGCTGGGGTGTGTCCAGGGCTGGGCACTGTGGGACATGAGGGGACAGCGGGGAGGCTCGCCGGGTTCACCTTCCCTTTCCACTCCCTTCTCACTCCCACCTTCACCCAAGCCTGTCACCAGCACACTACACAGGGAAAAAATAATGAAAATAGCCATAGTTAAGTCTTGTGGACGGTCCTTAGGCTCCTGAATCATTATGCAGAATGGGAAATACAAAGAGAAAAGACAGGACCTGGGAGCATGATGTCTTTGGGTCTCTGGAGTGTCCTGGTCTCTGAGTAGTGCTGCTGGGCAGGAGGCGAGATGGGCACATTGACGATAAGCTGCCGAGGGCAGATGGAGGTAGGAGTGGAGCTGGAGGGGGCCAGGGGTCAGACAAAGCTCGGGAGGTGGAGCTAAAGTAGGAACCTGGACTTTAAGTGGCCCACGTAAGCCTCTGTCCCCTTGTTCCAAATCAAACACTCAGGGTCAGGGTCGGAGAACCAAGCTGGGGGAAGGGTAGGTTTTGGAAATAATACAGCTGGAGGGAGGCAAGAGGAAGAAGAAACGGGAACAGAAAGGGACTGTCCTTGGGTTCTTCCTCCACTCTCCAGGTAGAATCTTTTTCCTTGGTACGAGCTTGCGAGCGAAACGCACCTGCCCACCCCTACCAGCAGGCTCGAGAGTAATGCTGAGAACACAGAGCACCTGGGGGGAGCTGGGAGGCTGAAGCCCGGAGCCAGATCTACAGTGGGGAGGCTCTGAGCACCCTAGATCACTGGAGGGCAGTGCATAGGGTGTGGAGCCAGTCAGAAATTGAGGTGGTGGGGGGCAGGTGCAGAGTGTAAGAGAAAACCCCTCGTCTCCCCTTTAAGTCAGACTGATGGGCCAAGTCAGAGGTCAGAGGGCTTGGCAAACTGGCTGTGGAATTAATTAGAAGCCCACAGCCCTCCACTTCCAGGAAAACATTGCAGAGGCAGAGGGGGAAGCCACCTCCCTTCTTTGCTAGGTAATGGGAGGAGGCCACACTCACCTGGGCAGCCAGGTCCCCAGGGGAACAAGAAGAGACTGAGGGTTCCCTGGAGGGCACATGCTTCCCTCATCAGCCTGGGGGAGAATCCTTTCCAACATGGACCTGCCCAGGAAGATTTGCCTGGGAAGACATTAGATCGATGGAGTATGTTCATCAATGGGAGGTGGTGGGGAAGAGGAAAGATACGACAGCCAAAGGAAACAGAAGGTTCAAAATGTAGAGAAACTCGAAACAGCCCGGCATGGGCAGGAAAGGGCCAAAAGGTCTGTGTATTTGGTGTGAGGCGGGGACAAAATGGGGGGAAGAAGAGATCAGATCAGGAAGTTTTGTGTGGTACGTGTTTCAGGCAAGGTCCTAATTGTGGGTAGACGGTGAGGCATCTCAGAGCTGGGAGAGTTGGCACAGGAGAAAGTGGGTGTGGGTCATCCCCCAGGGCAGATCCCCCCCCTCCCAGCAAGGCTGGTCTTGGGGCCGCAGAAAATGAACATAATAGCAGTGACTGCTGTCACCTGAAGACTGGCTGACCACCATCCCCCAGATCCCAGACTACAGTCTTCCCTAACCCTGAAGATGAGCACATGTTGTTGAATTTCCCGCCAACCAAGTACCAGGGCACTGAGCTTGTTGCCTAATATAGACATAAAGAAACATGACCTTTAATACCTACCCCTGAGTATTGGGGAGCAGAAGCCATACCCAGGGCTCCCATACACTGAGCAGTAACATGGAGATGAAGGACTAGAGAACTTGCATCAAGACAGGGACAATAGGATTACTACCACGGAGGCAGGAAACGGGCCATGAGACCTTTAGAATATGAGGTACCAGAATCTTTTTGTTTTGTTTTGTTTTTGTTCTTACCACTGGCATTACAAGATACTATTGACTTAAAAAAAAAAATATTATCTATTTATTTGACGAGAGAGCACACACAAGCAGGGGGTAGCGAGAGAGGGAGAAGCAGGCCTCCTGCTGAACAGGGAGTCCAATGTGGGGCTCGATCCCAGGACCCTGGGATCGTGACCTGAGCTGAAGGTAGATGCTTAACTGACTGAGCCACCCAGGTTCCAGATACTGTCAATCTTAAAATTCTTTTGATAATGTTCATGTAAAAATATAGTATCTCATTATTTCATATTTACTGTACTACTGGAGACACTGACCATCTTTTCATATGTTTATTGACTATCTGTAGATCTTTCGTGAATTGCTTAGTCATATTTTTGTCTTGCGCACAAAGATAAACCATTTATTCTCCTCCCCGTATTACAGGATTTTTTCCTTCCATGACCACAGTTCTTTTTGTCACGCTGCTTTGAAGAATGAAGAGGTAGACCAGACAAGAGTGATGGGAGGCAAAGCAAAGTTTATTTGGCGATAGTAAAGTTTATCGAGCGACAGTACAAATTTCCCAAAGAGGGAAAGGACCTGAGAGGGTTGCCCAAGAGGGACCAGGATCTAATGTTGAGGGTTAGCTCTGGCCACAAGGCAGCACGCCAGCCAGGGAGCTTGAGTCTGGGCTCTTGGAGAAGTTACTGTCTCAGCTCCCAGCTAAGAACACATCGTTAGGATGGCTGGGGTTTCTCTGACCAGTATTGGCAAGCAGAGGTCAAAAATGTTCGTTCTAGTGAGGTATCATCAGACCCTCATATGGGAAGGTGGGTCACGATCGGGGAGAGCCCTTTGTCTTGGCTGGTGGGAGAGCTTGAATATAACAGAGGTCACCCCTGACACCTTCCCTATGTGTCTTGCTGTCACATTGTCCCCTCTGATATCATTTCATTCAAATCTTCCCAGCTGTCAGGTCAAAGACCCTAAAAACTTGCTGAAAAGGTGGCCCTTTTGGAGAATTACTCAGGAGGCAGGACCACAGCCCTGCTCCTCTCCTTGGGTCATATTTCCCTTTGAATAAATGCAGCCCCAGCCTCAATGAATGGGATGAGTTTATCCCTGGGAGCCAGAGTCCACCCCCAGTCTGCAGGCTGAAGACTGGGCCCCAGAATGCGGTGTCTCAGCGGAGTTGCTGCCCCAGAGGCCCTGAGCCGTCAGCCGGGCCCACCTGGAGCGCACAGCTCATGCTCCTCTCAGATCTGCTTTGTAGGGAGATAGCTCTGGCTACAGTGTTGAAGGGCACCTGGGTATGGGACAGACCAGAGGCAGAGGGCCAGGATGAGACCAGCGACCTTGAGGACAGAGAAGAAGGCAAGAGTCTGAGATGTTTAAGGGCAGGTGTGATGACTGGGTGCCTTATTGGGTGTGGGTAGGTGAGAATGAGCCCAGTATCTTAGGTGACACAAAGGTTTCCTATGACCTGTTGGGCTTTTCACTAGAAAGGATGTACTTGCAGAACAGCAAGTTTAAGGGGGAACAACAAGGTTGAGTTTGAGGTGCTCCTGGGAAGTCCCAGTAGAGATGCCTAGAAATAAGGTGGTTGACTCTGTGTCTGGAGCATAGGAGAGATGTTCTAGAATCCAGATTTGGGCCAACAGCAAGCATTAGCAGTTAAAGTAAGAGAGGCCGAGATCGCCGGCAGAGGACTTTGGGACAGAGAAGACAGGAGACCCAAGACAGAGTCCTGGAAAAAGCCAAAGTTTGGGGCTATGTGGGCTGATAGGGGAGCAGAGGTAAAGGAACCAGCATGGAAGATGAGAAGCAGCAAAAACGGATGAGGAGGGGTCAGAATGTGGGGAGGTCAAGGCAGAGAATTTCAAGAAGGGGGTGGGAGATGTCAAATGTCACTGAGCCATCCAGAAAGTAGGCAGCTGGAAAGGCCCATTGATTTTGCATTTAGAAGTCATTGGTGACCTTTGTCGGGGCAGTGTCTGGCTGTGGGCCAGAGGGAGGGCAGTGGGTGGAGGAGTGACTGCGGGAGGACACTCCTTGGAGGAAGGAGTTTTTGCAAAGGCACAGGCAGAGCAAAGACCTCCCCCGACCCAGGAGATTCAGGGTCCCTGTGGAAGGCTTGGCAAGATGAGAGTGGAGAAGAACCAGTCAAGAGAGAGGGAGGGAAAATACAAGCAGAAGAGTGGATGGATAACTGAAGGAGAACCTTCTAGAAAGAGCCTGAAGGGCAGGGCTCCCCCTTAACCAGATAAAGAGGCTGTGGAATTACTGAGCCCATCCTCATGGCCAAACCCAGTCAAAGATGCTGTCAGGGGTAGGCAAGGTACTTTCTCTTTTATAGGGGTTTAATTTTTTTTCAAACCTAGTTTGCACCATTTAAAGTCTACAGGGATGATCTAACCAATTATCACATAACCATACCAACTTCAGAAGAGCCTGATTGTTGGGTGGGATTTTTCTTCAGCAACTGACTTTCCGAAGCGATCCCATTAAATGAACTATAATGCTCTTCCATTAGGAGGTAATGGGGTGCTTGGAGAAAGCCCAGTCAGGGGCCAGAGATCCCACCTCTCTTTCCCAGCAACCTCAGCAGAAGGTGGGAGGAGGGAGGAACCCAGATGTGGGATTCTGATGGGGGCGCTCTGAAACAGCAGGCCAGACTCCCCAGAGGAGTCCTCCCCGGGGCCCCGGGGCCTGAAATGATGTCCAGGCCACCATTAGTTCTTACTTCTGACTCACTGCCCATGGTCAGGTCTTCTGTCAACTCCTTTCTTTGTATCTGGGCAAGAGGGAATATCCTGAAATCAGCAAATCTGAATCTTCTTACTCCCTTGCCCCAAATCCTTTCATGGCTCCACATTTTTCTTTAGGGTAACCATGGCTTGCAGGAACATGCCTCATCTGTCCCTCCAGGCTCTCCTTATAGCCCACATGCCAGGCAATGAACTTGGGTACTTCGATGGTGCTGCTTTGTCACCTCTTGGCCTTTGATCATGCTGTTTCCCCAGCCTGGAAAGTTCTCTCCATTGTCCTCCTTGTCCCCAGTTTAGACATTTTGTCCCACAGGAAGACTTCCCCAGCCCCTAGGATTGAGTCAGGAGACTCTGCTCTTGGCCTCCTCCCCCTTCCTTGCAGTCCTGACTGCAACTGTCCTTTACTAGCCTCGCTCCTCCGAGGACAAAACCTGTGCATCTAATTCACTAATGTATCCTCATGCCTCGTGTGGGCCTGGTCCTTAGAAGGCACGCTGTACATCTTTGCTGAATGCACAAAGGAATCCTCTTGCACTTGGAGCTGGAACCCTTCACAGGGGAAAGCAGAGGCAGGAGAATACATGTTGTGCCCCTTCCAGAGCATTCTAGTGTCTATGTTCTAGAGAAGTCCCAGCTATGCCCTCTGAGCTAAGCCTTAGGCTCCCCTCGTCCAGCTTCTCTTAGAGCAAGGAGCCCATGTCCTAGTCTAGCTTTGGGGGCACTGGTTCCTTCAGAACTTAACATGCTTGGTGAATATACACTCTTGTCACTGGGTCACAAACACGAGGCCAACATTTGAAGCTGGCCTCAGTAGTCAAAGGAAGAGACTGGGTTGGGGAAGGGGGCTGGGGGTCCACCTTGCAGCCCTCCTGACCCCAGCTGGGCAGGTGTTCTGACAATCTGCATGTCCCTCCTGCCTCCTCTCATTTGAGGCTGGGGCAGGAGTGGTAGTCCCCCTGGGGAGAAGTAGAGACACAATCACACACAGTCACATTTTCCGACAAAAGCTGGTGAACATGAACACCCACTCACACATAAGACCGCATACAAGCACTCATGTGCTTTGGTGTGGACATGGGTTTCAAGGTCATGAGATTCACATGGGAAGGAGTGGGGCGGACACCAGCATTCCGTCTCTCCATTTCCCCCAGCCTCCCCCACACTGACTGCCCTGCGGCTGGCCATAAGGAGGAGCCACACAAGGTGGAAAATGGATCTGCATGTAACAGAGAAACTACTCAGGTTAGGGAGAGAGGAAGTACAAAGTCAGTGTTAGAGTCACAGCTGGCCATGGCATCCATTGCTTTTCTACTCTGTCCCAGTCTCTAGTCCCTCCTCTCCCTCAATCTGTTGTCACTCCTGCTTCCAGCCCAGGCCATGCCGTAACTGAACTGGCCATCCCTGCCCCGTTCTCCTCGCTCCAGTCTCCCTGGAAGGATCCTAGTTTGGATCCTAGTTTCTCTCCAGCTCTCTGACTTGTTCCCATCCACTGTTTCATTGACCCACAGGTAAGCTTGGGCTTGGAGCAGCTCAGAAGGGAGCAGAAACTTCTGTGACCTACGTAGGACCTCCTTCTGGTCAGGAGCTGAGTGGAATCCCAAGTCCTTTTCTAACACTTCACCTCCTGACCTGGCCCAGACTCCCAGAAGGCAGAAGTCACCTCTCTCCATTACTCCCTGTTGTCCCTTATTTTAAGAGACACAGAGAGGAAATGAGAGAGAGACAGAGATGGAGACAGGGAGCTAGAGAGCACAACAGGGGCTTAACATTGTCTTCAGGGATGGACAGGGGTAGGAGAGAGGGTAAGGAAGTTACCAGAGGCTGCATCCGTTTCTCTGGGTCTCAAAAACTTGACCAAACTGAGTCCCTGGGTCCATATCCTCATTCCCTTTACCTCACCCCTACCTTCACCCCTTCCTAAAAGACTTGTCAATAATAAACAAAGAAACAAACAAACAAAGTCGGGTCCTGTTTGGGCCCGTTTTTTAATTTATTTTGAACAGGCAATACAGTCACATGGCTCAAAATTCAAAATATACAAAAGGGTATAGAGTGTTGTCTCCTCCCTCCCCCATCCCTGCTTCCCAGTTCCCTTCCCCCAAAAACAACAGTTATCACTGGTTTCTTCTGAATATGCATATATATGTAAATATGTATTTATAGTTTCCTCCTTTCTACCACACAAGGGAGAAGTGCGCCACCCACACTTCCGTGCCTTGCTGTTTCACTGGAACATCACTCCCTATTAGTATACACAGAGAGAGCCTTCTTGTTAGAGCTGCACAGCACTGTGTTGTAAGACCATGAGGCAATTTAGTTAATCAGTCCTCTGGGAAAGGATGTTTCTCTGGTTTGCAATCTCTCACTTTGGGCACACCCGCCCCTCACCCAGGGTCCCTGAGGGACGCCATGATGGGAGCCACTCCCCATTTCCTTGGCATGGCTACAAGTGGTGGCTCTTGGAGTTCCAAGGTCTCACTGCTTCCCACCCTTGGCGCCCACCTGTCATCAGGGTCTGCTGCTGCGGAGTACATGGGCTCATTCACACCCCTGGCATGAATGACCACTGCTCATTACCCCAGTACCCACACATCCGCCTCAAGGGCTCACTTGAGCTGCTGCTGTGTGGCCCTCCTTTTGCCAGAGGGTGCAAAGCAGGTGAATACAAAGGGGGCGGAGAGAACTTCCATGATGGACAGCCTGCTCCGGGACAGGGGTGGGGTCCACTCTACCTCCAGTTGTGACAGACACAGGGGGACAGACAGGGGCTGTCCTCTGAAACTAGATGTCCTTTGCATTTTGAGACTTCCATGGGCAGAGAGCCAGGAGAAGAGACCTACATTAGAAATAAAGACTAAGGGAGCATTGTGACAGAGGAACGTCCTCTGAGGGATGGGAGACAAATCCCAGGCTATAAGAACAAGTAGGAACAGGAAGAGGAGGCAGTAGGTGGGGGAAGGGAGAGGGCGAGGAGGACTTGGATAAGAGGAATGTGGGCTAAGGAACCCCTTCTAGCTCATCCGTGGAGGTGTCGGCCTGGCAGGAACCCTGCCCTGGGGCTTCAAGGGAACTATCCCAGGGTTTCTAGGACACTATTCCCAGTGCAACAACACCATCCTCACCCCCCAAGGGAGGAAGCGAGGAGGCTCGGAGATGGATTAAAAAGATTTGGGAAAACCAGAAAGCAAAAAAAACCAGGAGTCTTCTGGGAAAAGCTTGGCCATCCGTCCAGGCATCAGCTGGCCATTCTTCTCTCTAGGACAGGAACCCAGCAGGTCTGGGGTCAACAAAGCCCAGTTGCATCTCTGCCCCTCCCCCAGTGCCAGGCATCACAGGCTCAGGATGCTCCCAGCAGGGAGGGGGTGTCAGGGAGGGCCATAGAGAGGGGGCCTGAGGGGAAGGGGAGGCGGGGAGCTTCCAGGTGGAAGGAAGGAAAAGAGGGCATCAGGCCCCCTGGCCCAGCACCCACTGCTCCTCTCCCCACAGCCTGGCCCTAGGGTCCCTGGCACACTCCCCATCCCGGGGACCCCTTAGTTGTGAGAGAAGCCCCCGTGGGAGAAGGTGGGGAGGTCTGGGGCACAGGCAGCAGCCTGGGGAAGGCAAGCCAGGGGGTTGATCTCGCAGGCCCCAGCGTCCTGGTCCTCCCGGAAATAGACAGAGTCCGCAGACTCGAAGGAGGGGTCCTGGTCAAAGAAGTTGTAGGGTCGGAGGAAGAAGCCCACACCGTTCCCCACAGTCACCGTGTTGGGAACGTCTTCCGCGTGTGGGATGTGCAGGAAACCAGCTGTCACCCAGGCCACCAGGTCCTGGCAGAGGAGAAGAAAGAGGATCCTGAGGCCTGGCTTCATGAAGGACAGGCCTGCCTCCTACAGCAGCCGTGGATGTGAGGATATAGCTCACTAGCCCAGTTTCCCTCAAAAGGATCTTAAGTCTTTTTTTTTTTTTTTTTAAAGAAGGCGCCACACCCAGCGTGGAGCCCAACAGCGGAACCCAGTGTGGGTCTTGAACTCACAATGCTGAGATCAAGACCTGAGCTGAGAAAGGATCTTAAGTCTTTAAGCAGTTTTTCCTACCTGCCTAGGAGTCAAAGCCTGGTCAATTTCATATTGGGAGAAACCCCTCCTCCCTGTCCCAACCCAGGCCCTCTATCTCGGACATCTCTCATCACAGCGCCGCCCGGCTCACCCACCCCAGAGGGAGGACACCCACAGGCGATTTCAGCTCACCTGTCCCTCACTCTCCCCCACCCCATCTATGACTGAGATGAGGACGGAGTAGGGAGATCAGGGTTTAAGAGGCAGAAAAGGCTGACATTCATAAATGAATCCCTCAGAGGTCAAGTCAGAAACGAGAAAAGGGTTAGACACAAGAGAGCTCGCCTTTCAGCCCTCCTCGAACCCTGGGGCCTCAGCCAGTGTCTCAGCAAACGAGCTCCCAGCTTGGGAAGTCTCCCTCAGGAGGTAAAGATGTGGGAAGGCAGGAGTCAGCTCTAGGCCTTGGGAGGCCAGATGGTTTCGGGGAACTACAGAGGAGGTGGGGTTCATCTCTGTGCCCTGGTCTCCCTCCCAGGACCCTTCTAGGGTGAGCTGACCTCTCCAGCAATGGTCTCATTGTTGATGAAGTCAGCAAACTCCACGGTGGGGGCCCAAGGGTCGTTCTGATTGTAGATGCTGGTGCTGCTGTGCTCCTTTTCCTTCCGCTGGGTCACGGCCAGCTGGTACCTAGGGAGGCACTGGTCAGGCCTCCACGGTCACTAACCCCGTCCTGCTGCCTGATTATGATGATGGAAGGGGGCTGAGTGCATGGACCCCGGGCTTCCCGTCTCATTCACACAATGACTCTGGTGCCCCCCCGGGATGGGTGGGCCAACCTCTTTCCACACCCTTCTGTTCATCCCCTGGCCATCTCACAGGACAGCCTCTCCCCACACCCAGAATGGGGAAGGGTTCTCCCGCCCAGGCCTTCACCTGGCGTTTCGATAACTGGGAAACCCTAACGCAGCTCTCACCTCTGCTCCAGTACAGTTTGAACCGAGCTCCCAACACGCCCTTCCCTCTCATTCCTCCCCGAGCTTCTCTCTGTCACCCCATCACTCACCTCCCCCAGCTGAAGGCTCTCTCCAAGGAGCTGTTCTGGGGCAGCGGCTCCCCTGCAAAGCTGAGCACCTGGACGCGGTAGCCCCGCAGGTGACCCCACTTGTTGCTGTGGTTGCTGGCCAGGTACACGTAGCGGGGCGGGACGCCTCCCAGGGGGGAAGGAGGCCTGCTCCTCGGTCTCCAGCAGCTTCCGGGTCACCTGCAGCCTCTGCACCTGGTGCTCGGGGCTCCAGGGGACTGCCGTGGGGACATAGGTCATGTCCTCAGCCCAGACCCAGTTCTCCAGTCCTGCAGGGGAGGGATGGAGGTGGGGGGGAGGGAGGGCCAGTCATGCAGCTGCCCTGTTGCCTCTGGACTCTGTCCCCTCCCCGCCACTCACCACCTCAGAGTGGGGCCAAGGAGAAACCCAGGATGGAGTGTGACCCTGCTTCCCTCCTCCTCCTGAGGATACCTCCGGTCTTTCAGCCAAAGCTGTTGACCTATAAAGTATTTCTTCAGGGACTAATTCACTAACCCTTCACACTGGAGAGGACCAGGCTCAGCCCTGGGAGGCACAGGGGAGTGAAATCCCATCCCCTTCCTCTGGCTCTCACGGAGGCTGTGGAAGGTAAAGCCCTGAAAGGCGGCCAGTGTGAGAGGAGCACATTCAAGGTCCAAGGTCACAGGAATACAGGCGCAGGCAGGAAAAGGGGGCCTTCCTGGGTGCCTTTCAGGCTTGAAAGATGACCCAGCTTGGCGTTCTAGGAGGGGGCGACACAGGAGCAAAAGCTGGAAGCCTGACTGACCTGTGGCGCTCTGGGGACAGGGAAGGGTGTGGGCCTGGCTAAGGCCACACTGGGGTGGGGGGCGTGGGGGAGCTGAAGGGCAGGCTGGAGCTGCACTCGGAGGGGAAGGGCCTTCTGGGAAAGATGGAGCCAGACGGGGCAGCAAGCTGGCAGGGGCGGGCAGGTGGCCCCTGGATCTGAGAGAGAGAAGAGTGGAAGGGGCAGAGAGAAGGCTGGCCCAGCAAGGCTTTGACTAATCTCAGACAGGCCAGAATAAAATGGGTGGTGGACTCAAAGTGAGGAGACGGACTCCAAGACATCATGTGTCTCTCTGTGTGACCACCAACCCTGGGAGCTATAGGAACATTCCACAGCACCCACTCTACCACCTTGCATTTAAGGGTATGGTACCCAGAAAGAGGGGGGCTCACTCCCAGAGGAAACGTATAACCTGGGGCTATATGACCAGTGTGCGTGTGCCAGGGACTTGGCAAGAGGCAAACAAGTCCTCCAAAACCTCGGCGCCACAGGCCAGACACAGAGGAATGAACTACAAAACATGGCCACCTCCCTGAAGTGGGGCCTCTGTGAGAACAAGGGAGGGACGAGGGCAAAGGGGATCTTGTGAGCCCAGATCCTTCCTCCTCCCTGAGCTTTGCCATTTCTCAAGATTTTCTGATGAGGTCACGTGGGGGGAGGGTGGCAGCTCTGTACCCAGCCAGTGAGCTGGGAGCAAAAGAAAATGCAGCAGCCAACCTTCCCGCTCAACTCGTCCTTTCCTGGATAACGTCCACAAACCCCAAAGCAAAGAGATACCTTTTCAGGAATCCTTGCTTCCCCAGCGATGTCTTACCTCCTACATCCAGATCCACCTTGAAGTGGGCGCTGTGGGTGTGGACCGTGCCCAGCGTGTGCTCCCCAACCTGGTTCCCGTACCTTCGGGCGGCACCAAAGAGGAAGGTTGAGCTGATGTAGCCGGTGGCGTGGAGTCGGACCTCTATGGCCCCATTGGGGTGGAAGACCATATCCCATACGTAGTCATAGTTGAGCATGGTCGACACAGATCTGACCACCAGCACTGTCTCTGCAAGGCCCCCAAAATAGTGGGAGTAGAAATTTGAGTGATGTCGCCTCAGGGGGAGGCCCTGGTTCTGTTCAAATACGCAAATGGCATCACGTATTGTCTTGGGGATGTGTGATTCCAGAAGGAGGTGCCAGTCCACGTAGGCGGCCCCATAGGGGCAATCTACCCCCCGGGTCAGGGGAGTGGAGTACTTGCCCATGCCAAAGCCGCCGTCCATATAGCGGGTCAGCATTGCTGCCGGGGAATTTCCACCATAGACAGCCAAGGCCTCCTGGAGGCTGATCTCATAAGCTAGTCGTTCTCCCTGGAAGCGAATGTCAAAGATCCTGGGGCCACTGAAAACTCCAAGGCCAAAGGAGAAAGTCCACAATGAAGAGGTCACTCGACTCCCCTGGACACCGAAGCGGGGGCCCTGGGGATAGAACTGCAGAGGAGGCGGTGGACTGGGGGGCCCCTGGGGCTTGAGGGACCAGGACCCACCTGTGCCATTGTCTGGGACCAGCACCACGTTCACCAGGCCAGCCTCAAACTGGTCCTCCAGCTGGGCCAAACTCTCATAGTAGCGACCTTGAAAGAACACCTTCTGGATGGTCCAGCGGGCAGGGTCCAGAGCCTTGTGGTCTACCAGCAACTCCAACCCCACGGGGTGCAGGAAAAAGCCAGCCCCCGAGATGTTGTAGTAGAGACCAAACCAGGTGGCCCGGTCCCCTGACTGTAGACCTCGGGGAGCCGTGGTCATCGTCACCAGGTTCTGTCCTTGGCGTTGGTAGAAGCAGCAGTGGTGGAGGAGGCCGGCAGCCTGGGGCAGCTCTCTGTCGAAGATCAGCCGGTCTATGTCCAGGTACTCTCGGAGCAACACGGGGCGGCGGTGGTAGGGCAGGGGGCCCCCGTAACGCTCCACCGTCACATCCCGCACGTAGGAGGGCCGTGGCAGCGGCCCCACCACCAGCTCACTCACGTTGGGCTGAGGCTGTCCACCGAAGAAGACGATGGCCAGTGCCTCCCGGGCAGGTGGGGGGCTCCCCCTGTCCAGGTGGGCCAGGGCGGCGGCCTTGGGGGGCAGGTGCAGCTCCACCGAGAAGATGCAGTTGTCCGAGGGGCGGGCCTGGGCTGCATCCACCAGGTCTGGCCCTAGCTGCTGGGTCAGGAAGCTCATCACAGCTGTCAGCTCGTCTCGGCTCAGGTCTGCAAACAGCTGGCTCTGGCTGGGGTGTGTCCAGGGCTGGGCACTGGGGGACACGGAGGGACAGTGAGGAGTTTGGCCGGGTTCACCCCCATCTCCTCCCCTGCCGGCTAGTAGGACACACACCAAGGCAAAAATGGTGATGACGGCTAGAGCGAGGAGCACCAGAGTGGTCTTCTGGTTCATTGTCCGTGAACCAGAGTAGAGACGTGTGTTCTCAGGTCAGCAGAGTGAGATCTCTCTTATCCTATATGGAGGGGAGGCGGGGGGTGGGGGGCTCTTGGACTCTGGCTGAGGTTCCCAGTGTTCAGCCGCTCAGGATACTGAGGGTGGGGAGGGTGGGAAGGACTTGGGAAGGCTGGGGAGGGGGCGGGGCAGGCCAGGCTTGCGGGGCGGGCCTGAAACAGGACGGCAGTGATTTCCACAGACCTTACATGGCTTTGTCTTCCAGGCTGCAAATCAGACTCAGCTCTCTGGGTCAGGGTTGGAACTGGGGAGAGCTGGGGGAGGCAGCAGGAGAGCGGGGTTTAAAAATAATGCAACTGACCAGTTGAGCTTGGAAAAGCAGCACTGGTAAGGAGCTGGGTCTGCGCAGAGCAGCCCCTTGTTCCCCTCACCCTGGCTTCTTCCTCCAACCCCCACCTTCCAGGGCCAGATGTTCCCTTTCCTGTAACTTGGAACTATTGTTCTGCTTCCAAGGAAACCCCCACCCCCAGCCCCACAGCTTCCCAAGCAGCATTCCTTGGCCTGGTCTGTCCCTCTTGCCCTCTCTTCTTCCCTTGCTAATTTCCTTGGCCAGAGTCCTTATATTCTCCGGGGGATTCTAGATACTTCCAACGTCAAATAGAAGAAACACAAGCAATAAAAAAAAAATCTTGTAATACCTTTTATTATAAATCACACACACCATCTATTTTTACAAAATTCTACCTATTCTTCCATTCCAATGCACATGCATAAAGAAATGTCTGGTATGATGTTCACCAGATGTGAACACTAGCTATTTCTGAGTGGTAGAATTTGTGGTGTTTCACTTGAATTTCTTAATAATCATATCTTTTGTATACATCCATCATTTAAACAAGAGGAACTGGAAATAAGAATTAACAGAAGGGATATATAGGGGTTCAGTGTGGGAGACTCTTTCCTAATGAATGTTAAGAGGGTAGGAGTCAAGGGAGCAGGAAGTGGGAACAGAGAAAGGTACAAATGTCTCAGCAACTCCCCTCCATGTCCCACTACACCCTTGGGGCTACAAGTCCTGGTAAAAGAAAGGGGGCAGGTCCGGGACACAGGCTGCCAGGTTGGGGATGCAGGCCACGGGGTTGACACTGCAGAGCCCAGCATCCTGGCCTTTCTCAAAGTAGACGCTGCCAGGGGAGAAGATGGAGGGATCTTCATCAAAGAAGTTATAGGGTCGGAGCAAGAAGCCAACTCTGTTTCCTAGAGTCACTGTATTGGGGACATCCTCAGCATGGGGGATATGCAGGAAGCTGGCTGTAACCCAAGCCACCAGGTCCTGCGGGAAGAGGGAGAGGCTGAAAGACTCTGGGGAGGCAAAACCCAGAGACCCACCCCTCCTCAGCCACAATCCCCAACCTCTAGCCTCAGCCTCACTTCCGCCTCCACCCAGCCCCAGGTCCACACAGCAGGTGGGGTGACCTTGTGAGAAGCTCCATAGGGTGTTCACTGTCCCCTGGACTAATCTCACCTCACAAGGGATGACCTGCATTGGCCCCTGAATCGGAGAACTGGAAACCTACCATTCCCTCCAACCTATGGTCAGGGGCTGAGCAGCCAAGATGTCAGGCTTCAGTTGCCCTTCTCCTCTGCCTCTAGGGCTACCAACCTCTCCTAAGAGGGTTTCATTGTTGATGAAGTCAGCAAAGGCCATAGTAGGGGTCCAGATGTCATTCTGGTAATAGATGCTGCTGCTCTGTGACTCCTCCTCCTTCCTCCGGGTCACCACGAGCTGGTATCTGACCAGGAATGTTGAAGGAAGGTGGTGTCAGGAAATGTCAGGGGCCATTCTCGGCCTCGAAGTCCTTTGGACCAGGTTCTGTGGGAGAGCATTTCCCATCCCATATCTACTTGGAGCTGAGGGGAGGCACAAGGGTGAATGGTAAACCAAGGGCAGTGAGTTGGGGTCTTCAAGAGCTGGGATCGGGGAAGAGGACCAGTCCTTCCCTACCACCCAGTGCCCGGAACCCTCCTCACCTCCCCCAGCTGAGGGCCCTCTCCATGTCGCTCTCCAGGGGCATGTGTAGGCCGAGGGGGCTGTGGATCTGGATCCGGTACCCGCGCTGGTGACCCCAGGCATTAGTCTGGTTGCCAGCCAGATAAAGGTAGCGGGGAAGGGGCTCTCCCAAGGAAAAAGCTGTGAGGTCCTCCCTTCCGAGGACCTGCCGGGTGAGCTGTGGCCGCTGCAGGTGGTGCTCTGGACTCCAAGGGGCTGCCACAGGTTTAAACACCACATCTTCAGCTACCACCCAGTTTTTCAGCCCTGCCAGGGGAGGGGGGAGAGGAGTTCCACACCAGGTGAGAGAGTCCCTTGTCCTCCCCCACGATGCCCACTGCGCTGGCCTGACAAAGGGTGGCGGAGCTCGTCAGAAAGCACTGTGCTGGGAGCCAGAAGGCCTGGATTCGAGCGCTAGCCCATCCTCTTTGAACCTCGCCCCGTTCAATACGGCTATGACCAGTCACAAGTAGCTAGTTCCATTTGAGAACTCAAGTTTCTCAGTCACACTGGCCACATGGGACTAGTGGCCAACACATCAGACAACGCAGATGGAAAATATCCATCACTGCAGAGCTCTGTTAGCACTGGTCTAGCCGGTAGACATTGGGCCGATTCTTTACTTCTTTCTCTCGATCTCTACAGCGGACATAAGAAAAGCTGTTCTGTGGCTGAGCTCTGCAAGTGGAAAAGCACACGCAGGTGGCTAGTTACATTCTTGGAACCATGAAAGAGAGATTTGTCTTGGAGAGGCTGGCTGGAAAAACCCAGTCTCCCTCCAGAGTGCCCTGCATCTTCGTCCCAGCTCTGAAACTTTGCTTTCCATCTCCACAAGGTGGGGACCACTTCGATGTTTTGTTGTTTTTTTCCCGGGAGTAGATTTAGATCTTATATTGTCTGAAAATTCCCTAGAACTCGATTGCACTTGTAACGTACACCCATCTTCCCCACTTGGCACTTGGTGATGCTCTGCAGGTTTGAGGTGTCAGTGTCTTTAAACAGGACTGATGGTGAAGGCACCCAGCACCCTACAGAGCACACCCTACTGAGGCCAGCACTTCCGCTGCCTGTCCCTTGAGCTCCACACTCCAGGGATCCAGGACCTGTGACTCAACTTCACTGCCTGAGACAAGGTTCTTTAATGCCAAAAGTGCTGAAGAGAAACTTCAAATCCAAGTCCTATTCCAAATATGTAAAAAAATAATCTAGGTAATAGGTTCATTTGGTCATTCTATTTTCTTAGTTCTCCTCCAACCCCAAACCGCATCTTTATGGTCTAGAGGGTAAGAAACCGTTTAACAAGAAAGATGCGCGGTTACAGAGCATTATACTTGGGCAGCTACTTCTTACCCCTTCTCCCCGCACGCTCCTCAGCTTGGCGAGGGTCTGGTAGATTTCTATTTTTCGTTCTGGGTCTAGTAGTCCATGATTTGATTAAATTCATTATTTTGTTCTTGACGAAAATCCGTCAGGAGCAGGAAGTCCTCTCTCTGCTTTGAGCCCCACTTGAGAAATCCCTTTCTACACTTGCAGCAAGCCTATTGCATGCCTGCTGTGTCACCGGAGGTCCAGCGGTGAGGACATGTGCTGGCAGGGGTGGGATGACCCTCCCCAGGAGGACGGTGGGGCCACCATCCTATGTCCTGTTTTATGAAATCCTGTGAAGCAACCCTCACTAGCACCCCCCACCCCCATACCCCAGGAACAACTTTACGCTGAAAACCTCCTTAGGCTGCTTCCTACCTCTGCTCAGGCCCCTGCTTTCCCCTCCTCCACTGTCCCCCAGAATCAGGAAGAAAATTCAAGAGCCCCAAATCCAGCCCCAATTGCCGGGGCAAATTCACTAGCCGCAGAGGCAATCAAGACGAAGGCCGCCAGGCCTGGCCATTGTATTTAAGCCAAGTTTCACAACCACCCCTGCAAGGTGGAGGGTAGATACCCAGCACGCCCAGGATTTCAGGCTGACTGCAGCCGAATACACTCCAATCAGCCCCTGCTGTTACCACAGTATGTTGTCGTGCCGGCCTGTCCCCCTCTGCTGCTTCTGGCTCCATCTGGGGGTCTCCCTTCCCTCTGCTCCACCCCGCGTCTCAGTCCTCACCCGAGCACTCACCTGCCACATCCAGGTCCAGCTTGAAGTGGAAGGCATGCGTGTGCACTGCCCCCAGCACTCGATCCCCCACACGGTTTCCGAAGAGGAGGCTCTCCTCACCCCCACTCAGGAAAGCCGTGTTGATATAGCCTGTGGCATGAACCCGCCCTTCCAGCGCCCCATTTGGGTGCAGTACAAAGTCCCAAATGTAGTCATAGTTGCCTACAGATGACACAGACCTGACTACAAGGGCCGAGCCAGCCAAACCACCATAGAAATGACTCTCGAGGTGATTGTGGTGCCTCCGAAGGGGTAGTCCTTGTGCCTCCTCAAATACACACACAGCCCCTGGGAGCAGCTGGACTGTCCCTGTGCCCACTAATATGTGGATGTCCACCATCGTAGACTGATAGGGGCAGTCGACGCCCCGAACCAAGCCCCGGCTGTGACGGCCAAGTCCATAGCTGCTATCCAAGTATCTGGTCATCATTGTCTTGGGTGAATCGGCACCATAGACGGATACACACTCCTGGACACTGACTTCGTAGGCCACTCGCTCGCCCTTGAACCGAATATCAAAAATCCTCATGCCACTGAACACCCCATGACCAAAGGTAAATGTCCAGAGGGAGGATGCCACCAGGTTCCCCTGCACGCTGTACTGGGAGCCCTGGGGTGAGAACTGAAGAGGGGGGAGAGGACCTGGGGAGGTCCGGGACTTCAAGGATGAAGCCCCATTTGGCAGGGGGAGAGGAACCCTAACCACTTCCAGGTGGCCAGCCTTAAACTCCCATTCCAACTGTCCCAAGTCTGCATAGTAGCGCCCAAGGTAGAAGACCCGTTGGACAGCCCAGCGGGCAGGGTCCAGGGCCCTGTGGTCCAGCAGCAGCTCCAGCCCCACCGGGTGAAGGAAAATCCCAACACCTGAGATGTTATGGTAGAGGGCTATCCAGGTAGCACGGTCCCCTGAGCGCAAGCCACTGGGGGTGGCATGT